TTGGTCCTGTGCAGCAAGAATAAAACCTTAGATTCCAGCTTTTAATCCTCTATTGCCACTGATTGGTCTGGGGTCTGTCTACGACTCGAGGTCCTCAACAAAACCCAGAGACGAATATAGAATATGATAGGTCCTGAGCTTTTCCACAGACGTGCCGTGGCTTCCCCTGTCTCTTCTACAAGTATTTTCACGACAACTGTTCCAACAAGCTACTTTCGCTCTGGTTCCCATACTGCATGAATTTAAGCGAGTTACTAGGCTTGTATCTTGGTCCTACCCTTTTACTGTCAAAACTGTTGAATGTAACCATCACTTCTACTCAAACAGCTTCTTCTCTCGTCCTTCCCGTCTGTGAAACACCCTTCCCCTTACTTGCTTCCCCGATGACTATAAACTTGAAATATTCAAGTGTAATGTCAATCGACATCTGACACTCTGAGCTTGTTCCCCGTCCTTCTCTGTATCCTTTCCTCAAACACGACTATTTAGTCTTGTAATCAGTCGTCTGTTAACACTTGCGTGCTAGTGCCACTCCAGCCTTGCTTGGGGTGAATTGCGTTAAACAAATTGTTTGGAACGGACAGAGCATTGACCATAAAGAGGTTTGTCTTTTCATCGTTTCTGTATCTGGTACACTGCATTTCCTCTTGCTTTCTTTTTGGGTTCTTTGCCACTGCAGTCGATGTATTATTATTATTTTAAGCGTTTCACCCCAAGCAAGGCGAGAAACCACTAGGACGCAAGGGGTTACAGAAAATTTGGAGCAAGATCAGATAGAAGTGATAGAGGAAAGGACGAGGAGAAGGATAGTGGATAGATCAAGGCAACTGGAGATGTCGATTAACATTACATTTGAATAGCTGGAGATTATAGCTCTCAGGGAAACTGGAATAGGGAAGGGACTCCCACAGGCGAGAGGTGCGAGACACGAAGCTATTGGAGTAGAAGAGACGGCTACATTTAGGAGTTTCGACAGTGAAAGTGTGAGAGCGGGATGCCAGCCTCGTAGGGCGCTTGAACTCATGAAGTCTGGGAACCAGCGAATGCAGCTCCTCGGAGCAGTTGCCATGAAAGTATTTGTAAAACAGATGCTTTACTTGCACTTCTTCATCCACTTGAAATTCTGTTTTGAATTGGCTTATCTTATTATTGAATAAAGTGTTTTATTACTTTCATGTCCTTTGACACAGAACATCATCCGATCTTCCGTAGTTTCAACGTATCTTTGAAGACCGATAGATGTACTAATATAAGACATTTCAAATTGAACTTATCTTCTGCCATCTTAAGATCTCGACACACACACACGATCAGCACCATACATGTAGTGGCACCTGAGAAGTTTCCTTCTTCTTCTTCTTCTTCTTCTTCTTCTTCTTCTTATTATTATTATTATTATTATTATTATTATTGCCTTTGATTTGTGTTTTATACGTATTTTCTTCCGGGTCCCAACCAAATAGCTAAGGTCAGAAATGGCATCATGACATTTTCCACTGCTCTTTTCTGAAATAAACAGACAGATTTTACATAGGTAATGCCTTTTATAGTGTAAGAGTTGGGCCTAAGAGAACATTTTTATTTATTTAATGCACAGGTTGCCAGGGATCCCTTCAAATAGTCTCTCAGAACCTTATTAAACAAAAAGGGCCCCGACCTAAACTGGAAATATTGATGTCTTCATCAGCCACATATTTTAGATTTCCACTTCCAGATCCTTACATTTTGATAGTTTTGAAGATCTTCAAAGTAACATTACAGTCTGCAGGAAGTGTCATGGCAAAAAGAAAGCACTTTTTTGATAAGTTTTCATTGTTCTGTCTGTGTCTCTTGTAACGTCCCATAAAATTCTTACAGGTCCTTTGTTTGTAAACGGTTCTGGATGGTGTTCATACCAACTTCTTGGAGTTTCCATCCCATAAAAAGTTTCCAGTAACAGATATTGACCCAATGTGTCATATCGAGTTTTATATTCGGTGGATATTAATGCTGTGTAACCTATTACAAGATCAATTATTTATGAATATTCAGCAAATATTGTTGTTGTTATTATTATTATTATTTTATTTTCTTTGATTTCTGGCGTTTTCACATTTCTTTCCGGGTCCCGCCCAGAGACCTAAAGTTAGAAATGGCTACATGACACTTTCCACTGATAAAAAAAAAAAAAAAATTACATAGATAAAGCCCTTCGTTAAGTGTGGGCTGTACTTGTCAGAACAATTTTTTGTATCTCTTTGAGGCATGGACTTCCAGGAATCCCTTCAATTAGTCTACTAGAATCTTTTCCAACCAATCCGAGGGTTCCAACTACAATAGGGATTGTTGATGTCCTCATGTGTCACATTTTTGAGATTTCTATTTCAAGGTCTTTGTATTTTGACAGCTTTTTGAATATCTTCAAAGATACATTGCAGTCTGCAGGGACTGCCATATCAATATGGAGGCAATTTTTTTGTTTGTTTGCAGTCTCTAATAACAATGTCAGGGCGATTAGCTTTGATTGTTCTGTCAGTGTGTATTATGTAGTCCCATAAAATTGTAACAGGTCCTATCTCCGTAACCGGGTCTGGGTGGTGTTCATACCAGTTTCTTTCAGTTTCCTTCTCGTAGAAGTTGCAGATTTTCCAGTGCAGATATTGGCCCACTCTGTCATGCCAGGTTTTCTATTCAGTGGGTGCCAATATCGTGCAACCTGATACAAGATGATCAATTGTTTCTGGATATTTATCACAAAATCTGCATTTTGGGCTAACACAATATTTTAGTAATTATTATTATTATTATTATTATTATTATTATTATTATTCTCGCTGTTGAGTATTTACATAAGATATCTAGTGGTCGATGGCTTCATAGTCAGGTCTACATACAGTTTTTGAATTCTGAGTCGTCCTTAATCTAAACTGGCTGCCAGCCAAAGATAAATAGCCTAGTATATTTTATCATTTAACCCATATCTGGGGGAAAGAGATGAATGGATACTTTTCCCAAGGGCATTTGCCCGAAAACGAATATAAAGAAACTCGACTGAAATTCGAACTCGTCCTGCCTATTTCTCGTTCTGTATCGCTATCCATTACATCAACCGCATTTCCATGCATATTATACAGCCATCGGTAAGATCATGGAGATCACAATGACCCTATAATCTCACCTGCAGCCGGCCTACCAATGTGTCGATATATTATTGCTGTTATTATTGTTGCTGTCGTTATTAACTGAACATTGCTGAAGAATAAGTGAAAGTAACTCCCCGGAAATTTCCAACACCTTCCTCAGTATAATTGTGGATTCCAACAATAAAGTGGTAAGTATAGTCTTACCTGAATCCAGATTTTTCCCATCAAAGAACAGTTCCAAAGGTACCTAGACACGATTCTAAGCTTCATTTCTAATATGTTTCTCAGCTCCTGAGTAAAGTCCTGTTATTTATTTAATTCATCACTCCTCTTTGGATATATTCAAGGACCAAACGGCTACATTCATTACCTGACAGGTTCTTATTTTATTTATTCACGAATACCAGGTCTTTTATTGAGTGGGGAAGGGTATTTTTATGTCTAAATCTAAAAATTTATTCTAAGATATTATTTGCTGATACCATTGATGTCAATATTCGAATTTAATTCTACATTTCCAAGTAATAAATCTGTATGCATCTTTATAAGAAGAAAAAAAGAACATTTTGCATGTTTTATTATTTTATTTTTCCAAAGTTTTGCATATTTGTCTGATGATAGAATAAGACAAGAAAAATCTGGTATAGCAAACCATGTTTAGAAGGGAATGTTTGCCTGGGATGAGGCCAAAATATTTGATAGGGAACATCGCTGAATAGTGAGAAAATTGAAATTAGTAATTGTGAATGAATCAATTTAATAGGATTTGGGGGCAGTTTAAAATTTGTTCAGCAAGAAAAATATAACAACAAACATAAAAAATGAAACCACCAATATTCATATATTTATGCCGTAAATGGCCAACTAGATACAATATACCGCATGTTGTATCTATGTCGCCATTTACAGCATGTTGTATCTAGGTGGCCAAACAGTGAATATTGTATCTCGATGGCCATATTTTGTAATGTTGTATCTAGGTGGCCATTTACGGCATATTGTATCTAGGTGGCCATTTACGGCATATTGTATTTTGGTGGCCATTTACGGCATGTTGTATCTATGTTGCCATTTACAGCATGTTGTATCTAGGTGGCCAAACAGTGCATATTGTATCTCGATGGCCATATACTGCATGTTGTATCTAGTTGGCCATTTACGGCATGTTGTATCTAGTTGGCCATTTACGGCATATTGTATCTAGGTGGCCATTTACGGCATATTGTATTTTGGTGGCCATTTCGAGTCTCTTGTAACTTGGTGACCAAAAATTACAAAATTTACTAAAAGCTACAGAGGAAAGGAAATTGTGGAGGGTCATGATCGCCCACGTTATGAAGGAGCAGGACACACGGGAGAAGAACAAGTTTGTGTAAGCGGATGGCAGAACAGGGTTCAGGTGATATAGCAAAAGGAAAAAAATTGCTAAAAGCTACAAAGCAAAGGAAATTGTGGAGAGCCATGATCACCCACTTTCTGAAGGGACTCTGAAGATAGAAGAAGAAGAAGCGTGCTACTTTTTAGGACCACAGCAGCAATAACAACAACAACAAAAACAACAGTAACAACAACAACAACAACAATAATAATAATAATAATAATAATGCACCGGAAAACACTAACGTAATGAGAGAAGCATTAATCGATAGTGCATGCTGTGAGATCTTAAGTTGCATTTAGTACAATATGAATTTATTCTCTGGCTGTGTAGATTTTAAAAACAATATCAGGTTTAGTGCAGAAGTAGTAAGCATAATGATAGTTGTGGCCAAATTTGAAATGGACGGAAAGTGGGTTTGGGTGTGGTGCTTGGTGGTGGGGGGGGGGTGATGTAGGGAACATGTCGATGATGTCGAACATGTTGTAGCAAGTTGGTTGATGCTTTGTCCACGCCATTTCATGTCGGCTGGTCGCAACAAGTCGCGATCACGGCCTAACGCCATGTTTATCATATTGCCTTTGTATAGCATACGTGTTAGTTGTTTGCTTCTCAGTCGCCATCTTTCGCTTTCCCTGGGCTGACATCTCTTCCCCATCCTCGTCGTCTTCATCTTTTTGTTACTGTCTCTTGCACGCAGCAGATCATAACACGTTAACAAAAAAAAAAATCGAAGAGGCAAAAAAAGAGTCAATTTCGTTTGTGTTTCTTGCTGATGTCTTCATCGACATTTGTTTTGCTAATGGTGTTTTTTTTTTCTTTAATGAATTCGATTTGCTAAGAAGTTTTATCATTCTCCATTATCGATAAATACAAAAGCTATCAAAAGTTTGCTTTTGAATAGAATTTTCTTTCTTTCTTTCTTTCTTTCTTTCTGCTCGATAGTCTTCTTTTCCTTTTCTTTCCTTTTTCTATTATTCTCTTCTAGTTCGATTCTTTCATCTTTTTGTTCTTGTATTTTTGTTAATACGTACAAAATGCTTTTTTCTTTCTTTTTTTTTTCTTTCTTTCGTTTTTCTTTTTGTTAATACAGCCAAAATTCTTTTGTATTTTTCTTCCTTTTTTCTTCTGTCTTTTACCTTTCTTTTTCCTTTTGTTAATATGGACAAAATTCTTTTATCTTTCTTTTTTCGTTTTGTAAATACATACGAAATTATTTTTTCATTCTTTCATTATTCTTTCTTTCTTTTTCTTTTTGTTAATAGATATAAAATTGATTTTTCTTTCTTTTTTCTTTCTTTTTTCTTTCTTTTTTCTTTCTTTTTTCTCTTTTTGTTGACACAGACAAAATTCTTTTCGTTTTCATTCTTTTATCTTTCTTCTTTTTTTCTTTTCATTAATACAAGCAATTTCTTTTTTTTATTTCTCTTTTATTTCTTTTTGTTAATGCCTATACAATTATTTTTCTTTCTTTCTCTTTCTCTTTTTTCTCTTTGTTAATATATATAAAATTCATTTTTCTTTCTTTATCTTTCCTTTTCTTTTTGTTAATAACTATAGAATGTTTTCTTTCTTTCTTTCATACTTTCTGTCTTTCTTTTTTATATATTAATACATATAAAATTCTTTTTTCTTTCTTTCTTTCTTTCTTTAAAACTCCTTTTTCTTTCTTTCATTTTTTTCTATTTTCTTTCTGATATAACATACAAAATTCTTTTTCTTTCATTCTATCTTTTTTCTTTATTTCTTTTTGTTACGACGAACAAAAATCTTTTTCTTTCTTTATTTTTTCAATCATTCTTTTTCTTTTTGTTAATACATACAAAATACATTTTTCATTCTTTCTTTAAAAATCTTTTTTCTTTCTCTTTTTTCTATTTTTTTTCTGATATTACATATAAAATTCTTTTTATTAATACATACAAGATTCTTTCTTTCTTTTTTCTTTATATCATTTTTCTTTCTTTCGTTTTTTTTGTTAATACATACAAAATCCTTTTGTCTTACTTTCGTTTTTCTTTCTTTCGTTTTTTCTTTTTTTTAATACATACAAAATTCTTTCTCTTTTTTCTTTCTTCATTTTTTCTTTCTTTTTTTTTGTTTTCTTTTTCTTTTTCTTTTATTTTCTTATTTTCTTTTTCTTTTATCTTCTTTTTTCTTTTCTTTTTTCTTTTATTTTCTCATTTTCTTTTATTTTCTTATTTTCTTTTCCTTTTATTTTCTCCCCTTCGTTCCTTTATTCTTCTTTTTGATTTTCTTTTTCTTGTTAATGCATTTTTATTTTCTTTCAGAATTTTCTTCTTTTTATTCCTCCATTTGTCCGTTATTTCCTTTCACATGCCCCCCCTCTTTCTTCCTTCTCTTTGACTTTCTTTTTTCATTCTTCTTTCACACTTTTCTTCTTTTCCTTTTGTCTTTTTCATTTATTACTTACTACTTGTTCTGTCATTGTATCTTCTTTTTGACTATATTTTTTGTTAATATATCTTTTTTTTCTTTCTTAACACTACTTCCTTTTTTGTTTTCATTCAAATTTCTTTTTCAGGTTCTTTGGCTTCGTCATCTTTCCCTTTTTTCACTTTCTTCTGTTCCTTCATTTTTTTCTCCTTCATTTTGTCAACTCACTTACTCTTCTCTTTTTCTTTCTTTCTTAATTTTGGTTCCTTCTTTTACGATATTGGCTTTGGTTTTACTTTTATTCTTCATTTCTTTCATTGAATTTAGGTTTCATTTGATTTTCTCTTTCTTTCTTTCTTTCTTTCTTTCTTTGTTTGTTTGTTCCTACAGCAGTTGTTTCCTGATTATATAAGATTCACTTCACTGATGTTCTTTCTTTCTTTCTTTCTTTCTTTCTTTCTTTCTTTCTTTCTTAATAGCGGTTCCTTCTTTTGTTTGATCATCTTTTGTTATTTTTTTCCTTCTCATATTTTGCTCTCCTTCGCTTTCTTCTTCATTTTCCCATTTTTACTTACTTTTTCTTTTTATCTTTTCCTCCTCCCATTTTCCTTCTTTTCATATATGCCATTCCGCTTTGTTATGCTGAGTTTTAATAAAAACAACAAGGTCATCCTTAAGACATCTCTTGCTTTTTTTTTTTTAATATTTTTGTAAATTCTGTTTCACTCTGTATCGGATTTCTCTTTCATTTCTTTATTTTTTCTTCCTACAAATTTTCTTCATTTAATCATTTTTTTTTCATGTCGAATTGTAAGACTGGTTCAGTTTTTTCCTGTCATCAATTTTTGTTGTTTTGTTTTTCTTATCTTTCTTTTCTCTCTTTCTGGCTTTGATATATTTTATATTCTATCGCCTGTTTGCTTTCCGTTTTTTATTTTCCATGCTAATTTTTGATATTCCCTTTTATATTTTTCGTATATTTTCTTTATTTTTTTAGCATTTTTATTTTTCTCCTTTCTCTTTTCTTCTTAATTCATTATCCTCTTTCTCTTTCTTTTTTTCCTTCATTTTTTGTCCTTTTTCCATTTTCTTTTCTTCTTCATTCTTTCTCCTTTTCCCCTTTTCTTTTTCATTTTTCTACTTTTTCCCTTTTCTTTTTCATTCTTTCTACTTTTCCAATTTTATTTTCTTCTTCTTTTTTCCCTTTTCTTTTCTTCTTCGTTTTTTGTAGTTTTCATTTTCTTTATCTTCTTCGTTTTTTTGTTCTTTTCCCATTTCTTTTTTCCTTCGATCTTTGTCTTTTCCCTTTTCCTCCTCTTCTTTATTCTTTGTCTTCTTTCCCTTTTCTTCTTTCTTCTTTTTCCTCTTTCGATTTCCTTTTCTTCTTCGTTCCTTGTTCTTTTCCCATTTCCTTTTCTTCCTCTTTTTCCCCTTTTCCCTCTCCTTTTCTTCTTCGTTCTTTCTCTTTTTTTTCATTTTCCTTTTCTTCTTCGTTCTTTGTCCTTTTCTTTTCCTGTTCTTTTCCCCTCCATTAATTCTCTTTTCCGTCAGCCTCTTTCCTTTCAACATTTCTCTTTTAACAGTTTTATTCTTCTGTCATTTCGTTTACTCCCTTCTTTTCTTCTGTGGCACAGTACAATGTTTTATTGAGAAGATTACGCCAATCAATTGATTCAACATGGACATTACAGGTAAATAGCAAAAATACTATATAAACAAACACATTAATCTGTTTACTCACCGTATAAAATGCAAATAACATCTTTTCAATTTAGAAGAAGAAAATATTCTACACTCATGATATTATTAGCATATGTGGCGTAAACATTTACTGAATTATATTAATTATGTCATTAGAAAGAGAGAGGAAATATATTAACCTTCTTTACTCTTCAAGGTCCGCTGTAGAAATTAGTATATTTCAGTGATATAGTAATACGAAGACTATAAGCATGACCAAACCCAAAGACTCCAATGGCTGAACCAGCGGATGAAGAGGGCTACGCGTGGAGGACATGCTACAGAAGGCGTCACTCGGAATTATAACACAATCAACAGCAGTCCATTGCTGTTTCATAATTTGATTCTGCATGTCTCATTGCATATGTGACGCAGAGGAAGGTCATAAATTGAAGTGTGTGGGTCACTTCCTGGCAAGTTGAGGTCCACCTTAAACAAATTCATACCGTCGGCACTATCTTCTACTCTGATTTTCTTTCACTTTCAACCAACTCTTGGAAAGCCAAACGTCGACAGGGAATAAATGACGTACGTAGGTTTTGGTAAAACTTGAAACTTCTAGCCCTGAACCTGAAAGTTGACGGCGAATTTAGTCATCAATACCATCATCATAACGGAAGCGATCAGCAAAGAAAAAAAATTAAATTCTTAGCTACAAGATAAAGCCGACGAGTCAAAAAATCCTCATAGAACCCGCATAAACGGGTTCGGGTTTATCTACCGCCCCGGACGAAACTCTGCCCTTCGGCACAGCCTCGTCCGGGTTCCTCACTGCCCAAAACAGAAAGATCGACAAGAGCTGCGGACAGTTACAGCCTCGGTAAAAGAGTCTAGCACTGTTATATTCAGTGACCCCCCCACCCAGCCCACGAGGGCACATGTGGCACAAGGCCTAGTTTAACGAGGAATATCAAAGACCATAGGTTCGGCATAAACAGTTCGGGTCTGTCTATCTTCCCGGACGAAATTCTGCTCTTCAGCACAGCCTCGTCTGAGTTCGACAGGAGCTGCGAACAGTCAAACCCCTGGTAGAACAGTCTATCACTGTTAATATTTAACGCCCCCCCCCACCATCAGGAATACATATGGCAAAAGGCCGAGTTTAACATGGGTTATCCGAGTCCGTAGGCTCGGCCCAAAATCCCCGTAGAACCAGCATAAACGGCTTCGGATCTGTCTACCTCCTCGGACGAAAAACTGCCCTTCGGCACAGCCGGGTTCCCCTCTGCCCAAGGCAGAGAGTTCGACAGGAGCTGCGAGCATCCTCGGTAGAACAGTCTATTACTGCCCCCCCCACACACACCGAGGCTTACTTTCCTACTACTTTATAGTAAGTGGAAGAGTCCACAATAGTCTCATTAGATGGAAGACACTACAACAATGAGGGGCATGCTACAGAAGGCGTCACTCGAAATGCAGTTTTATCACTGAATTCTGCATGTCTCATTCCATATGTACCACATAAAAAGGTCATGAAATCAAGTATGGGTCACAACCTATGTGTGGGTCACTTCCTGGCAAGTTGAAGTCAACCTTAAACAAATTTATACCGTCTGCACTTTCATCTACTCTGATTTTCTTTCACCTTCAACCAACCCTTGCAAAGCCCAACGGCGACAGAGAATAGATGACGGGAGTAGGTTTTGGCAAAACTTGAAGCTTCTAGTCCTGAACCTGCGAATTTAGTGATCAACGCTTTCATGATAACAGAAGCGATCAGCAAAGAAAAATTAAATTCTTCGATATGAGATAAAGCCGAAGAATCGTATAAAGTCAAAAATATTTATAAAGCGATGTATTATTTGTGTCAGTAGTATTAGTGAAAGACAAGATATGTTGATACCACCTAGTCTTGAAATAATTTTTAGTACTACCAATATAGAATTTTTCAACCGTCGGATTCACTAGTGTAGAGATAGTAATAAGATAAACCAGAGATTTAATTAAACATTTCTTTGGCAAAGGGCATTCATCAGAATTCCTACAATTACACTGACCAAGATCATTAATATTTATCTTGGAACGTGTATTATGATCCAGATTATTAAATTGGTTAAAAATTTTATTATTGTGTAACTTTATAATCTTCTCAAGATTATCGGTGCAGCTATAATTTAATTTTAATGTGATTCTGTTAAATAGAGGGTTGGTTACTTTTAGGAAAATGTTTCTCAGTCAAATGGAGGAACTTATGGCATAAATTAGTACTGACTAATTGATTTAATGAACTTGTGTACCAAATGATCTATTCTTTAGAAATTTAATATAAACACACACACACACACACACACACACATATATATATATATAGAGAGAGAGAGAGAGGGAGAGAGAGAGAGAGAGAGAGAGAGGTGAGAGTCTCCGATTGATGTCAAATCGCTTGTGTTTCGATCCCGGCTTGTAGCAAACACATGTCTATCCACACGAATGAGCTGTGATACAGCGAAACAGTTTGTCAGAGGATGAATATATATATATATATTATGAAATGGACAAAGTCCGACAATTATTTTAAGACATTTTTATGTTTATACAATCTTTTTTTTATAGATACAAATATTTAAGTTAATGTTCTGTTTATAATAAACAGTATTAAACAAAATTTACCGGCCTGAATGTCCGAGAAATTTTCACAGAAAATATTCGTCCTCCGACAGGATTCGAACCTGAATCCTATACGGAACTGTCATTTAGCTTGACGTGTCTTTAACCGATTTGGCCACAGAGGAGCGTTCGGTTAGCAAGGTCGAATTTACTGTATTTGAACTTCAATCTTCTATGAATCTCTCACGTACATTCATATCTGCTCAAGGCGTATCCAAATGTAAACAAATGATGTCACACATTATGAAATGGACAAAGTCCGACAATTATTTTAAGACATTTTTTTGTTCATACATTTTTTTTTTAAAAAATATATATATATATATATATATATATATATATATATATATATATATAAGTAGATAAGTTCACCTATTGCTTGATTCATACTCCTCCTCTGCCTTTTGAACAGGGGTAGATGTTTAACCCTTGTTTCCAATAAATGACTAAGTTTCCGGCTTCTTCTAAAGTTTATTTCAACTCTATGCGTCTAACGTCTCCGTCTAATCTCTTAAATTATATTTAATAATTATTTATTATTATTATTATTATTTAACAAAGTGATTGACATGGCTCTTCTAATATTATGTTTAACGTATATTTATTCATTAGTTGGAAATACAATAAATTAAAAATTCTTATGTGCACGAATATGTTTCCCCGCAACTATACATATCAATGTAGTGTATGCCTGTCCGGCATTGGACTTATCAGTCGAAATCGTACCTGCAAGCGACGTGTACAGACTTTCTCTTGATCTTTGTTTTGTGAAGCCAAGCCATGTTATATGAATGTAATTGCCAGCTGAGATTTTTTTTTTTTTTGTAAATTCGTTTGAAACACTCTCCGTTAGAGTAAATATAAAAATTAACATTAAAAACATCTAAGGGAGGTAACTTAATTCATTTTTTTTATTATTAATGTTTTTAAATGCTGAAACTGCAATTTTTAAAAAATACAGCGTGACCCAAAACAACGGGAACTTTTTAACAATCCAATAAAACCAAAAGTGATGGAAGAAAAATATTTTATTCATAGTAATTGAAATCTTAAAACATGCCATTTAAGAAACAATGATGGAATTTTCATTTTTTTAAAATTACGTCCTGTAGATGGCGTCCTCCTGTACGAATGCATTATTGAAATCTGCTGTTGAGATTCCTCATTGACTGTTGCAACATCTCAGCTGGGATATTGTGAATTTCACCTTGAATTCTAAATGGCGAAATGTTTACTTGCTCAAGGTCACTGTCTCGCAGTGTTGCCACTTGCTCATGTCTGGCAATACGCACTTCAAAAATTTCCGTTTTTCGGGTCACCCTGTACAATCTCAGCATCCAAAAAAATGCTTTTATAGACATTGTTTTATAGACATTGTTTAAAACATTGTTGCTATATTCATAATTAATTTTATTTAGTGTTGGTTTCATTTTTTTTATATAGAGCGCTTCAAGAACATGAAATTTTTGTTTTTTATTTTCATTTTGGAGTGTGTGTGTACATGCGTGTGTCTGCATGTTTGCGTGTGTGCGTGTGTGCGCGTGCGTGTGTGTATGTGCGTATTATCTTTTTTATAAAATATGTTTGCTGTCATGTTTTTATAAACTACGATTTCTGTCATGTATTCAGTTTTATTTTCTTTTTCATTCAAATTCCTGTTATTTTTTGTGTTTTTCTTTGCCTTCGACAAACAATAAAAGAACAACTAGATTTGATGGTCTTGGATTTTAGCTGCAGTCAAGCGCCATATAATTCACACAAATCGGAAAATACACGAGAATTTAAGCCTGGTTTGGATTTAGAGGGACTTTTTTTTTATACGTTTTGAATATTTACAATTTAATTTTAATTTTATCTACATACTTATTTTCTTTGAACTGTGTTTAACTTCCCCAACATTTTGTTTAGTTTAATGTTCTTAGATTCTTAGTGTAAAAATGCGTGATGACCTTGTTCGATAAAAGCCAAACAGGAGTAACAAAGACAAAAAAAAATATCTATGAAATAAAAGAAATCAGATGAAGGACGGAAAATGAAACATCTGAAAGATGGCGGGAATAGAACGTATGAGTAATGACGTTACTTTTGTAATGTGGTAACAATTAAACAGCTGAAAAGGACTTGTCATCGTAAAAAGTTTTTGAAATTCGGAAAGTAAAGCTGTTTTTTGAAATGTATCTTGTATCGAAAGGTTTTATTACGTGGGGTTGGGCTGCATAAAAATACGACTGTGTTTCAAGTGAATAGTTCCAATCTTCATGGATGGGTGGCGAAGAGGTTTTCGAGAATAAAAGACCAATTTCATTGGAGGGAAAGGGGGAGAAGTAG